GGGGGTTAGAAATGTAAGAAGCCAATAGGAGCTCAGTCTCAACAGTGACTTCCCACCGGACAGGGGTGGCCCAAGGCTTCTGCTGCCACCCAAAGTAGTACTATTGCCTCTGGTAGCTTTGTGGCTGCCGCTGCTCTTGCTTTGCTTTCCAGGGTAGTGTGTGAGACTCAGTTCAGGCCTGTGCAGGCAGAAAATTCTCCCTTTTGGGAAAAAAGGGAGATACTTTAGACCAGGACCAGGATCCCCTTTTTGTAAACCACCAGTGTAAAACACCTCCAGCTTCTGATCCGTTCTCAAACTTGACATGGTATCATAGAGCCTTGGCCCAGTGTCCCTAATAAATGGTGACCAAGTTCAGGGGCTACAGGAAGCTGTTCTCTTTGGTGGGAGGAGATGTGCAAGGAACTCTATCCTATTCTCTATTTGTAGAAAACTGAAAGACATAGAGGAGAGTAGATCATTGAGCTCAGCCTCCCTGCAGCCTAAGCTGAGGGATAGAATGGGTGTGGGACTGTGGTAGAGGGAGATGGGTAGATGGAGCCTACTCACAGATTGCAACAGATTGCTCTGTCCTTGGACATTGCCTCCGTCCTTTCTTCCCCTCATTGCTTCACTGGCCACAGTGTGTCTCTCCAGCCCTGAATATGTGGCTCTGCCATCTTCACCCTTCACGGAACAGAGATGAGGAAGGCAGCCTAGCAGCACAGAGGCAGGCAGAAGACCAGTGAAGGACCAGACCTGGAGAGCACAGGGCCCTCTCTGGCATGCAGCACAGGGTTCCATAAGGGCCCGGAGCATCCCAGGAGGAAGGAGAACACCCGGCCCCCACCAAGGACAAGCTTCCAGTGATCTGCTGCTTCACTCCATTTCTCTCCAGTACTGCCTCCTTTGGGAGTGTGAGACCAGAGTGAAGTGACCAACAGCTTTCACCCTTTCTTCTACCTCTTCCCTACCTACTTTGTAATTTTTATATGAGCAGCCTTAAAGAGCATGAGCCAGATATGAAAGGACATGCACAGGAAATTCATTTTTAAAAACTCAAATGGTTAAAACCATTGAACAAACCATATTCTTCATTAGTAATTAGAAGAAGGTGAATTTCAATGTTGTTTCCCTTAGCAGCCTGTAGCAGAAATAAATAAGAACCATTGTTGTCAAAAGAGTACTGCCTTACATTGCGTATGGGAGTATAAATGGGTACAGTCTTCCTGGATGGAAGTTCAATAATGTGTATTAAATACCCTAAAAGATTCCATCCCCTTTTACCTAGTAATTCTATATTTGGCAATTTATCTTTAAAAAGAAATTAAGAATTTGGTTATTAAGTATTTATTCCAGGAATACAATAAAGAAAAATGGGGCCGGGGATTTAGCTCAGCGGTTCAGTGGCCTGCCTTGCAAGCGCAAGGACCCGAGTTCAATCCCTGGTACCAAAAAAAAAAAAAAAGAAAGAAAAATGGAAAACAACTGTTTTATTGGGAATTCATTCCTTTTCTGCTATAATGAAAATTTGCAGTAGGGGATTGCTTAAGTAAATTATTGTATATCCATCCAGATGGTTGGAGTATGGCATAGCCATAGAGAAAAACATTTGACTGGAAAGAAAATTGTTCTTTGAATATTAAAGGTTATAAAAATAGTGTGTATTCTGTTACCGAGTTTTAAACAAATTTATTTTGAAAGTATGGTGCATGCTTGTGTATACAGAATAGATTGATTGATTGATTGATTGATTTTGGTGCCGGGGATGGAACTCAGGTCCTTGTGCTTATGAGGCAGGCGGCGGAACCACTGAGCTAAATCCCCAGCTCCAGAATTGATTTTAAAACAAACTGAAGATGTACTAAAAAATGTCTTTATGGTTACCTTTGGTTGGTGCTTTTTTTTTTTTTTTTTTTTTTTTTTGGTACCGGGG